CCAGATTTTTGTACCGTTGGGAATTCTTTTATGCGAAAAATTTATGTCTAAGTCAACTAACACCGCTTCGTGGTCGCTTATGCCATCAATGACATCGCAAGACAAGAAAAGCTCTTGCGGCCTAAATGAAAGATAATTCTGAAATGAAATTCTCAGACTTGTATCTCCAATCACAATTTTTTTAAAAATTCAACATACGTTACTACTGATTCTCCTTTGAATTCGTTATCTCAACAGAAAACAAAACATTAATGATTTTTATATTTCTCTGAACAATGAAGACTTGGATTTTTAAGACATAGATTGAAAGACTTTTTGCCTTCCATTGAAATCTCCTTTAATGTTAAGCACTGCCCTTCAAGTCACACAACAGAGGGGAGCTAATTTCATATCTACAGTTTTCCTTGGAAATCCAGAGTAGTTCTTCTTGTGCCTCACGGCTGCAAAGAACAAGGTCTACGCTCATATAAAACTTCCCAACCCTAATTCAGCCTTATATGTATTATTAAATACGACGGTACAAATTGGTCCTTTATACTTTAAAGAGATTACGAGTCTTATTGGAACAAAAACGAAAAACATCTGATGTTTTGCTATTGTATAATCTTGGAATCAAAATGGGTTCAATCCTAAAAATGTGTTCAATAATTGGATTTCTCGTATTTTCAATTCTCAGCACCATTGAGGTTGCCTTACTGTTAAGACTGAAACTTTATTCCAAATCCTCACTATCCAACACATTTTAAAAGTTACGTTTTTCGTCTACCAAAAACTCGTAAACGTTTTAGATGGGTTATCTCAACCAAAAAGTAGCATTAAGATACTATTTCTTGAATATAATAGAAAACACAGCTGTTTAAAACAATGAACACATTTTATAGATGTTCGATTTTTTCTGAAGGTGCATCTTTAAGACATGCATATGGAGTTTAGTATTCAACCAATTAGTATTTATATTTGTGCTTGCCTATTTGAAGTGAAAAAACTCATGCTCAATCTTGACATCTAAATTTCTGAATTCACAACCTCTTTGCACGTTACATAGATTATTAATTGAACAAATTCGATACTTTCTGCATGACATGGACGAACTGCAGCTGAATGTATTCGAGGCAATCAGAGTAAAAACCTTCATTTCGATGGTGTTCTGTAAAAGGGTGTTAAGTCTTTTTTTGTGAAGGCGAAAATTTGTTGCTTAGGGAGTTGCTCATTATAAAGGCTTTAACCTGCATTACAAAGCTACAATGAAAATGTTCTGCATTTAATATTGTTGAAACATTCTTTGCGTCTCTAGAAACACACGAGTTTTTCCAGAACTTAAATTCCTTTACCCGAACTCAATCAAATTTTCTTTGTCTTCTCCTGCAACAATACATCTTTCATAACGCGTGAAATATGCAATTAAGAACAAAAAGTAATTTTAAGTTTTTAATTTTACCATTTATCAAATACAAACATTAGATATCTTAATCTAATAGTTATTTATGATATGGGTAGTAAAAGTGACATTTTATTTAGCGTGTAGAAGTTGGAAGTTACGCAACTCTACGACCAAAAAATCATTTCTACCACTCATAACTTGCACCATGTTTTCAACAACATTACGGACTTTTATTATATTTTAAATCAAATATTCAAATCACTTAATGACACATTAAGGTTAATAGCGTCTGATGCAGAGAGGCGAAAGTGTTTTGTTTCCTTTGGTGCATTTACAGATTTATGAAAACACGACGATCGTTCCTCTCACTTTAAGCAGTAGTGCTAAAAATTGAACTTTTAACACAGTATGTATGTCTTGAAATAACAGCTTTTACAACTGGCTGTCTAAAAAGAATGAATGGAACTAGGGGTTGTGGCAATACTTTACAGCATAAACCCCACCGAAATGGAGCCCTAAAAATTGTGTATAAACGTATGTGTGTGCGCGTTGGTGCGCAGGCCTGATCACGGTGCCGGCGGGCGGCGGCGGCACCTTCCTGGGCGGCTACCTGGTGAAGCGGCTGGGGCTGACGTGCTCGGGCATCATCAAGCTGTGCGTGACGGCGACGGTGCTGGGCGCGGCGTTCACGTCGTGCTTCTTCCTGTCGTGCCCGAACCTGCAGTTCGCCGGCGTGAACGCGCCCTACGGCAACGCGTCGGCCGGCGGCGGCGCGCCCGCGGCCACGGCATCGCGGCGGCGCCTCGACGCGCCCTGCAACGCCGGCTGCGGCTGCTCGCCCGCGCGCTTCGACCCCGTGTGCGGCGTCGACGGCGTAGTAACTTACTCGCCCCTGCACGCCGCTGCGCGCGCGAGGCCCACGCTCGCCCGACCTCAAGGTGACACGCTGCCGCTCGTTTATTTATTTTATTATTTTTATTTATTTTATTTTATTTTATTTATTTTATTTTATTTTAATTTTATTTTAATTTTATTTATTTTATTTATTTTATTTTATTTTATTTTATTTTATTTTATTTTATTTTATTTTATTTTAATTTATTTTATTTTTATTTTATTTTATTTTAATTTTATTTTTATTTTATTTTATTTTTTTTATTTTATTTTTATTTATTTATTTTATTTTTATTTTTATTTTAATTTTAATTTCATTTATTTGTTGCAATCATTCATTCATTTATTGCCAACCTGGATGGCCGAGGTGGCTAAGAGCTTGTCAGCGCTTCGGTCCGACGGGTTGCGATTTCGAGTCCCGCCTTGATCATGGTTGTTTGTCCCTTATCTCTCATATATATCTTGTCGCGGAGGGCCTCGCGTTCTGATGACCTCACATCAGAGGAGCCCGCAAGTGCGTTGGGATTTATGCTATGGCCCAATATGCGTTCCATCGGATCGTAAAGAGTAACAGTCTGTCGACTGGATAAAAGCCCTAAGCACATTACTTTATTCACTTTTATTCATTTATTCATTTATTCATTGTAGAAACCAGTTAAAAATGTATGTGGAGTGTAGGAAGACATGTAAAGTGGGTGCGCAGAAATTGTATAGAGAAATTACAAGAACTAGAGACACATTCTCCACGGTATTTCTCTTTTCTTCAAAAAACTATTGATAAGCATTGCATTGTTTGTGGAATCTATATGTCCGCGATAAGTTAAAGAAAAGGATTCCCCCTCCCAAAAAAGAGACTATCCGAAATGTAATACTTTTTGACTTCTTAGTTATATCTCTTTAGATCCCTCCAGATGATTTTGTATATAATCATATTTGTATACTCTAAAAATACGACCGCTTTCTTCGTTATTTACGTAAAGAGCAATTTTACTTGACAGATGTACTAGCGTAAACAGCTTGTTGCTTTAACTTGTGGCTTTATTTTCTTCCCAAAACCTCATCAACTCGCGGTGTCTTGCACATATTATTTACGCAATTATTTCTTAAGTAATAGTCATATCGATGTAATAAGTAATAGTAATTCATAAGTAATAGTCATATCTTAGTGCTAAAACATTGTATGCTCATTCATGGTTATTTTTGAGTTAATATCATTTTTGCGACTCCTCGTTCGTATCTAACTAGTGTACAAAGATGTGTATGTGTATATAAGAGGGATCATGCTTTTTTCAGAAAGAATTGTCGCTCCTCAAGTACCTGTTCATTTCCAAACTTTTAAGCTTTTTTTTCTCGAAACTATGAATTCTCAACGTACAAAATAGTCTCGGTCAAAAATTAAAAACAAAAATTTTGAATTTCTTCTTATAGTTCTCTTTGGGCAAAAAGATCTGAAAAAAAAGATTGGTTCAAGTCTGTGACAAATATATCGCAGGTGCTTTACTTAGAAAACAAGATCGGCCAAAGATGCCTTTCCTGCAAACACATATAGATATCACGATTCATTAGCATGGGTGTAACCAGAGTATTTCTTTTTAATTAAAATTTGACCTACATTTTACACCCTTTTCAAAACAGAAAAATTCCAATAAAATTGTTCTACAACAGATTAGTCGAATTTATATCATAAGGTTACTCATTTTAAGGGTTAGTCTACCATCTAGGATTATATGGTTTAGCAAAGGCCACGAAGAAATAATACGTAATTTAGGGGCGTCCTTAAACTTTTGACCGAGACTGTGCGTGTGCTCTAATCCATCTATATATAAACATAAAAATTCAGAAGTATTGCCTTGAAAAGTTCCCAAAGCGCCCTTGGTTAGGACTTGGGAGACTGACCGCGTGTGTGTGTCTGCAGGTGTTCGACGAGTGCGCGTGCGTGACGGCACCGCCGCGGGAGATGTCACGCGAGGACGGCGGCGACGTCGTCTTCCAGGCCACCAACGAGACGTGCGCCTCCAAGTGCCCCTACATGTGGGCCTTCGTGGTGCTCGCCTTCTTCACCATGCTCTTCACCTTCATGGCCACCATGCCCGCGCTCTCCGCCACGCTCAGGTGAGCGCACGACGCTCGCTCTTGGCACGCGGGAGAGCGTTAAAAAAAACAAAAAAAAAACGGCGTTTACTACTACCTAACTGTGAAATTGAAGAACATTTTTTTCAACGGAGGGGACGAACACGACTCGGAGACGTTTTTTATTTGAAATACAGGCAGATAATTCGGTTATTTGGAAACACACTACCGGAAACAAATTGAGAATAATAAATCAAAATTACAAAATACACCGTTGGTAACATTAACTTGTATTTAATTTTGTATTGTTGAACAACTGATGAACAGTTGATTTGGTCTGTTAGGAAACCAAAATTGAAGCGTGATTGAAAAAATTATTGAAAATGTTAATTTTTTTTTTTTTTTTTTTTTTTTTTGCTTTTAATAATATTGATTAAACCTATTGGATTCTGTACATTTCGTCACAACGTACGTAGGTTTAAAAATACGTAATGTGTTATTAAAATGATAAATATTACCTGTCATTAATCTCAACTTACTCAGCTATATATAGTATTCAGCAGCAAAAATATTTTAAATTACCATTGTAGAATTTCTGAATACCCTTTTTTGTTGTAGTTTATGTCTGGAAAAAGAAAGAAAGGATGGCTGGAGCGAGAATATTTGCAAAGACACTGTAAGACTCTAAAATTCTGGTAGGCGATTGTCTATGTTAGATACATCATCTGTGTCACTTCCTTCAGATTCCAATCCAGTGATTTCATTCTAACCCTCTCTAATTGTTAGAGAGGTAGAAGCCTAAACTAATATTTATGCTTGGTCCCACTGTGGTTCAGGCAAATGCAGAAACGGGAGGAAAGGAGTATGATTTAGTGGGGGAGTCTGTGATTAGGCACTCTCCTCTGAAGAAAAATGCTTTTGTGGCCACTCATTTGACTGAAGAACATATCCCTCAAATCATTAAAGTATCATATGGAAATAACTTGACATGGGATCACTCATGTTTGCATAAGAGGGTTAATCTGATAGTTTTGTGTGTGATATTTCACATACTGTGTTCATGGATATGAATTGCAGAAATGCTTTATTGTGTGGTGTTGAGTACTAGCTTGATATTTACATCAGGAAGGTATATCGCCCCAGGCATGTCATAAGGATAGATTGGACTGAATGAATGTTTCCGTTATTGTGTTGGATGAATCACTTACTGCAAAACTCTTCACATATAAAATTGAAAATATTGGCTTGACATGGTTGCATCTGCATCCTCTTAAATGTTCTTGCTCTTTCCTTTCCATTTCCAAATTTGGCATACACTAAAATTTAAGAGTTTCCTCTTTCATGCCCTGGAGATAACAAGGGTAGAAGCAAAAAATTCAAGTGTGTCATTCACTGGTTCTCCAAGTTAGCCATACACTACCTTGTGATCTGGTCTTTGAAAAAATAGTGAAGCATTCCTGCCAAAGTAGAAACATAGATGAGCATGATAATCCTGATTTTTTCTAACTTACTCAAATCTACAATTACTAAATTATTACATGAAAGTTAATATCAGCAGGAAATGCGTGTATTCAAGTAGAAGTCCATTCAACCTGCCTGAGAAACACAAAGAAATTTTTAAAATAAAGAAGTAAGAAACAAATGATATATCTTTTTTAAATTACATTCCTGTTTCTCTTGAATATCATTCTAGTGTTCGTAAGAAGCCTCTATATGTACAGATTTCTTCCGAACATTGGAATTAGACCCGTTAGGCCATTCAGAAGTATGACCAGTTAGATGTAGAGGTTGAAGATGTGTGAAGAAAGTCACAATCTTCTAAGTTCATTTCTTATTTTTCAGTAAAGTTATAGCATCATTTTTTTCTCCACTGTTATGGTGTGTACATTAAAATTGCTGAAAGACTTAACATAATCTGGACAGTTCATTATAATAGTTTGCAGAGTGTTCAAAATTCTTCTAAAATATTATTTATTAACTCAATTATGTTTAATGGAATAAAGTAAATGTTTTTACGGTGAAAAAGAGTAGTAATGTTTTTATTCCTAAGAGAATGTCTCAAGCCACCTATCAGACCCTCTACATGTTCAAAATTTCTTTGGTGTAGGCTAACTTAGATATTAATATATTATATTTAATTTTACATTCTCAAATGTTTAACAAAACATCCCACATAATTCCAGACAAAATTTGTTGCATTGATTTGAAATATCTTATGTTAAAAACAGCTCTTCTGTAAAATTACAATGTCGTGGCTTCTCTGATGCAACATCTCACTTTGTAAGTCGGTTGAAGTATTCCATCATAGAGATACCTGACCACCCAAAAGCTGTAAAAAAATTATCATTTAAATTATTGAATATTAAAGTATTGAGTCCATATCATCACATATTTTCAGAAAGATAACATAGCATATGGTGATATTAAAATTAAGCCCCTTACTAAATAAGCACCCAAAGTTTTTATTATAATTGTAAATGTACTTTGATAAAAACAGGTTATTTTTGTAGATTTTATACAAATCTGAATCATTGAAATGTGCTGTGAACAGATGTGTGCAGGACGACCAGCGTTCGTTCGCATTGGGCATCCAGTGGATCAAGGTGCGCCTTCTGGGCACTATCCCAGCGCCAATTGTCTTCGGGAAGCTCATTGACGAGACCTGCCGCCTATGGCAGGAACCCTGCCCTGGCTTTGACCCCAGTGAGGGTGCCTGCCTTGTCTACAACAACGACTTCATGGCCAGGTCAGTAGTTTTCACACTTGATCACACCTATATTTTTAGGCAGTTCATTGGGTGACCCATAGTATAGGGGTCAAAATGCTCACCTGACAGTGCCTCACATGTGAGTTCTGGGGCTTGAATCCTGGTCATTCAATGTTGAATTTAAGGTAGACAAAGCAGGCTCTTGGTAGCTTTTCTTGGGATTCTTAAGTTTCCTCTGCCTCTCATTCCTCCATGGCTCCCCATCACCTATCCAAAACCTTTTATCGGATGTTTAGCAAAAAAGATTAGGAACTGAGGATCATAATAAGAAAATATAATGGTTCATATTGAACAATAGCAGATAGTAAGGTTTTTTCAAATTGACTTCACTCATTACAGTGTCCAATGATCTAATATACAAATAAATAATATTTTTTTTAAACACAATCAATTTTTGGCATAAAAACAGAATTTGCAATAAAAAAAGTGCTTCTATTTAAAATTTGAAATGAAGGTGGTACCAAAAGTAGACAAGTTTTACCAAAGATTAATTGTCAGCTCAGAGTTTTTTGGAAATTTTTAACGGTGATTGGAGTTAATTTGTATTCTTTAATGTTTATATTATTAAATACTAGTGTACCCTTATGAGAACACCTGCATGTTAATCTCCACACTTTGCCTATTCATTTCTGTATCCTTTTCACTAAGAAGGAAAGTTGTTAATAAAACATGTTTATTTGTTAAATAATGAATTAATGTAACTTCGTAATTAGACGATATCAAACAAAAATAAAAACAATGCAATTGATGTTGGTAACCAATTTTCAATAAAGGTTTATTCATAATTATAAAGATATATTCTTTGAACATTTCACACTTCCGTAAAAACAATATTAGAAATAATTATTCAATCTTTCTTGACAGTTAGCTTTTCACTTTCCTTGATAGTCGCAAAAATATTAGAAAACATTTTTAATCTTGAGAAAGCCAAGAAAGTTTTCCTAGTGAAAGCACAGGATCAAGCTAGTACAAACCTATTATTTGCAATATTATTTAACTTTTTAGCATTTGTTATGAGGAACAGAGGTGGTTTTGGATGGGTAGGTCACCAGATTGCTGGGGTGCAAAAATTGAAAAATTATTTGTGTAGTTAAAAGTATTGGATTATATTTTGTGCTCTTACATACCTCAAGAAAAGCAAATCCAAGCCAAAAAATAATAAAACTAATATTTTCACCTTTGAAAAATAAATACCATTTGTTACCATTAGAAACAATTCAGCAAGCTTAGACTTCACTTCAGTACATGGGAATATTGTTCAAATGATGTGTACATACTGAATATCTTAGCAAACAGACACCTTAAGTTTAATATCAAACGGTGCATTATTTACAATATGAGTTTACAGCTGGGCATTTACGTAAATAGTTCCAGATACTGCCAACATTTAAACTGTGCATGTGTATTGTGATCATTGGCAGTTGTCGAGTGACTTGTGCTATTCTTTACATAATTTTAAATTTGGTTCCTTTTTTAAATTTATTTATGTAGTATTGTAGGCTAGCACGTTTTTCCATTCTAAGAGGGAAAGTTGTTAATGAAATGTATTTATTTGTTTAAAAATGTATAATGGTAATGAAAGTCATGTGTTATGAAAAAAATGTTGTGTTGTTTCAACACAAATAGACATGCGTAAAAATTTTAAAATTAAAAGATTTTCCGTATTTATTTATATAAACATAAATATCTCATGTTTACTGATTCTATACTTGTGTGTTTTGTTTGACAGACAGAAAAAAAAATCTCTGGGATTGTAAAAAGGTCGATTTTTTTTTTTTTTGTAATTTATGTTGTGCCTCTTTATAAAGATTTTTTTATTTAGATCTCATTTCTTGTTATTTTATGTATATAAACAGAATGTGTAAGTATAGTAGACATTTTACAACAAAGTCTCAACACATTCAATTAAGTACAATATACAATTTTCTAGAAAAATGTGTCACATCAAAAATGTTTTTTTCAAATATTGTTTGACATCATTTTCAAATTGAATATCAAATTTTGATGATTTTTGATCTAACTGAAAATAATATATAATTTGAGTCTAAATCCCAAATTTTTAGCTTTCTGATCTAAATATTTTCAACCCTATACCATACTGCTTTGAGAGTAACTGATTTGTATTGTAATTAGTGTTGTTATGGCACAGGAACTATCTCAATATTTTACCCAAGTTACATTAAAAAATCTCACATTTTCTTTTTCTTTCATTGTTTTCATTCTAGACACTTTTTCATGTGTTCAAGTAGAAAAATTTTTAAGATAGTACAGTTTCTGAGGAATTTCTTAACAGAGAAGACATCTAAATTTGCTTGGTGGAGAAGGAGTTAATTTTTAAGAATATGATTTCATTTTATGATTTAATTTTTTATTAATGATTAATCACAAGGAAACTTGACCTACTTCATTACAGAAATATGTGATGCAGTTTGGTTAAATATTTGTGTCAACACAGGCATTAAGGAATATGCATTTACAAGCCTGTGTCACTCACCTGATCACCTGATTGAAATCTTCATGACTTCAAACTCATTCCTAGTCTGAAAATTCTGTTGGATGATTTAGTGCTTTACAAACAAGGAAGATATTATAATAGCATAATGATTTCAGGTGGTGTGCAACACCAACCTACAAACATAGATTTTCAATGCCATTCTCTTTGTTGGCAAAGATAAGTGAGAGTTCTGCAGGAGATTTTGGAAACAATTAGAAGATTGATCTCATTAGTGATCATTTGCTGCTTTATAAAACAAAGACCTTGACTACTGACTTAGTCAAGTGCCCCTTGCCATCAGCTTCAGTCTCAGTTCTATCATGAGAAACATAGTTCAAGAGATCCTCAAATGCAAGTACTAGTTAATAGTAGAGGATGGCGTATTGATGATTGATGATTGGATGACGTATAAATGCTGTCAATGCTTATTAAAAGATCCTCGAATCTATGAGAATGAATGATTATATAGTTTCTCTAAAGTATATGTTTCTCTAAAGATCTGTGTAATTCTTACTGTATGTTTTCTTGAGATCAAATTTTATTTTCCTCCTCCTCCCAATGGAGCATTTGCCTTATAAAATGAATATCTTTAACAGTAGTAAGCCCATATGTGAGGGCACCACTACCATTAAGGAGGACATTTGCAAGTTAATTAAAGGGATTCATTTTATAAGCCAGAAGGTGTAACAACATCCTAATATCTCCCACCAAACATTCTGAAAAATTAAAGTATAGATCACTAGTTGTATAGATCATTAGTTGTTGACGTTCATTGATGAATGATTTCAAATGCATTTGTTGGCTGTAAATCACAAGTGAATTGTCGTTGTTGAAAAAAATTCAGAAACATTATCAATTTTGCAACCAGTTTGTCAACAGATGGCTATGAATCTATGACTGCAATGGAAGTAAAACTGATCTTGAAACTAAGTACTGCAGAAGCAATGTTTGAAATTCAATTATTGCCTCTTAATTATTTCCTTATTTCATAATTTTTACACATAATTAAAATTTTTTTCACAAAAAAGGGAAGGAAGAGGGTAGGGGTAATTGAAATATATAAGTCCTAGAGCTAGTCTTAGCATGAGTAAGACATTTCTGTTACATCAAGTGATCCCAGAGAAGTACAGAGGAGGCAGAAACACTCCAACTCAGATTTTGAGTGGTGAAAATGTATAATCACTTGAAAATACAATGAATGTATTCATTTTGAAAGGATTAAGATTAAACCAATGGGTAAATGTAACATTATTTCTCTTTTCAGGTATATGTTGGCTTTAGCTTTCATTGGAAAGGCAGCTTCCTTATTATTCTTTTTCCTGGCCTGGTGGTTCTACATTCCACCTTCCAGTCTGCGCGAGGCTCTTGCTACTGCAGGAACACCATCGTCAGTGGAAACTCCTTCCGTTCCACCAACAACAGGCCCAGTTCTCATGAATGGGCATGCAGGTCCACACGATGATGGATTACCAGTTCCTGCGTAAAACATCTCAGCACATTGCTCAAGTTTTGCTTAATTCTGTTTATGAATTTTGTGTAGTGTGTGGCACGTGACTCATGCATATGAAATTATTGCCACATTAATGTACACTGAAAGTTCACAACCGAGAAGATTACCAAAGTATATGTGGTAATGGTTCATTATAGTGAAGTAGCAACAAATGTTAGTAAATGCTTGCTTGAATTGAATGTGATGGCAAACCAAAGATAAATTACTTTTTATCTTTCCTCATTCAGGACCTTATACATTCTGTTAATGAAGTAGGCCTGCAGTGATGATTAGACAATGTTTACAAGACTTCACATCACAATTACGGTAACAGGAAACTAAATGGAGAAAAGTCAGAGATGTGTATAGAATTCTAGACATTATGAATTTGTGAAGTAGGTAAAGGAGAATAAAAGCATAATTGAAATGATGTTTTACAATGCAAGTGGACAAGATTCTTCAGTTGTGACAGAATGTGTGTGTTTATATGTATGAAAAAGATTAATCCTAGAAGCTGGATGTCAGTATTTATTACATATTTGTCATTCCTAAGGCAGTTATATGTATTCTACATTCAATACATGCACAGTTATTGTGCATTTTGTAAGTAATGCTGGTTGGTCAAAGAGAATGTGTAGATAACAAATAAAAATTTTGTTTCTGAATGCTTTTAGATACTTCTGATCATAAGTGTCACAGACTTCAAATTGCAGGTGAAAAAATTGTGGAAATTTTTGTGTAGAATTTTTATTTGAAGAAAAGTATTTATCGAACAATAAAATTGGAAGTTTACTTTTATTCAGAAATTTGCTTTAGTGAAAAGAAATGAAGCAAAAACCACAACAGTATGAAAGTCTGTTACCCTTTAACCTTCCAATGCAGAGAATATTGCTTCATCCATCATAAGATTACTACCCTTTCAATTTTTAAAATATAGTGAAAGGAAATATTGTGAAGTATGGAAATCTATAATTTCTAACATTAAATCACTGAAAAAAGTTCCTTTCTCCTTTACGGTTTTCATATCCCTGATCTTGTCTGATGAAAAAGGATAATTTGTAAATCTTTTTCAGGAACTGTTAATATAATTTTCACAAGAGTGTACTACATACTTAGTCAATCAAAAATAACTATTTTTCTTTTAGTTGAACGTCACTGAATACCTGTATTTTTCATTGTCAAACATTGTTTGTTTCCTATCTATACATTCTGAAGCAATCTGCTAATTTTAATATACTAATTGTAAATTAACTTCTTTAACTGAATTTTTTTAATGCAAAATTTTGCTTTACATAAACAACTAACATACCTTCAAATGTATTTGAACCATAAATGGTACAAATGCATCTCATTTTATGTACCTTCAGAATACCCACTAATGATTGTTGTTGTTGCTGCTGTTGTTGTTGTTTTTTTCATGAAATACATAAGTTTTGTGCAAATATTCTTTACACAAACTAAATGTTTTTTTTGCTATTGAGAAGTGTTCTGAAAATGTTCCATTTTCCGATTGTCTTCAATTGCTTTCATATTTACTGTGTTAGTACAATTAAACCTCCATACCTGTCTAGGTTTATTTATCAAGGTCAGGATATTATTATGGTCAACAATTAGATGTTGCAATATGATTTTGCAATGATATTGAAAAACAATAAGAAATATCTGCATTATTTTGATTTTCAAGAATGAAAATATTGAGACTTATCATGTTTATTTACTTAATTTTTCACAGTTCTCATATCATTGTCTACCTCTTGCTTTTCCTTTAGTCTGAAGGATATAGGTAAAGCCATTGATTACAAATGAGCCAAAAATACAGCTATATAGCATTGTGTACACTGGCATGGTAATTTATGTCCATGCTTGAGATCTGGTTTCCTGCTATATGCACTAACGTTGCAACAATTGAAAAATAGCTCCAATTTGAGATGGTTCACATACAAAAAGAATTTTGATAACTGAAAGTTGAATTGGAAAGTGGGAAAGTTGAATTGGAAATGTTCTGTAATTTGAAGACAAATGCACTGATTTGACATTCTGGATTTCAGACTTGATTGTTTTCATATAAAACTTGGTAAATATACCCTATTTGAAATTTCCAGAGTGAAGACTATTTCCAAATATATCTTCTGAAGCATACTTTTTATTGAAATTGTTAGAGCATAATGAAACCTTAAATTTAAAATTACAACAATATTTTATATTTGTTTACATTTGTGTGTTTCATAAAGAAGGTAATAAAAGAAATCTTAAATTCCTAGCTGTGACATAATATTGGAATGTCAAACATTCTTCATTTGAAGTATAATAAGATTTTAAGTTTGATTGGAAAAACTCAATATAATAATTTATGTGTTTTACAAAGCTATTATTCTTTTCTCGTTATACTGTCTTCCCAAAATATTTTCCAGTTCAATGGCAGCTCTAGACTAACAAAAGACACCATGGAGACATATCTTATATTTTATTTTTCATCAAGGAATCTTGATCTATTCTTAACGATAGTTCCAACCAGAGTACTTTGCATGTAATGGAAAAATTATGGACAAGTGAAAATATTGTATTTAAATTCAAAACTTCCTTATAGAAATTATATTTGACAGTGCTTATCATCAGTATTCTTATATTGGTGTCAGTCATGTAAATCCCCAAATTGTGTATATAACTTCACATTTACATTCCATTTTTAGTACGCTTTTGACACAAATGAGAGTTTCACGTTTAAATATTCAATAGTATGCTGACTTTAAAAAAAATTCATCACATTCATGGAATTCATTCTGTTTTGCCACTCTGGTAATTCATAATAATACCAGTTTAAGAGATTTGAATTGTAGTTTTGGTGTACTAATTACAGAGTATTAAATTTTTGGTATTTTTAATGTTTGGTTTTTAAAATGTGTACAAAGATCAGACATGCTTGTTAAAAATCATGTTTTTGCAGCAATTTTGAATGTTGTCCAGTAGATGATCAAAAATTGGTTAATTCCACTTTCACGCTTTAAGATACTGAAAAAAATATTAAGTCCTAATCCTTGGCAATAAATTTCACTCATAGAGTAATAGTGAGAGAAAAATTAATCTTGCTTTTTCAACTTAGTGATGATGTTTCTAGAATTAAACACTTTGTTTGGTCTATGTCTCATATAACTTTGTTATTGTTAAAACTATATCTGTAGAACTACGATGTGCATCAATGAAACATAAACTTAACCCTGAGATTGTGTAGATGTAAATTATAACAATTTTGTGATAGATCCTATCGATTCCTATTACACATTGTCAAGTAGCTCTCTTTGTACAATAGTTATGAATATAATTCAAATCATACTCGTAAAAACTGATGTTTTGTAATGATATGTCAGTGTGTTTTAAATGAGGAAACTTTCAGTGTATTGCTATATTTTTCACTATTAAGAATGTGACAAATATATCATCCAAAAAGTACAAATCTCTGTTTTCATTAATCACTTTTCGATGACAGAAAATTACAATGAATGAATATTTCCAGGAAAATAAAGAAATTTTAATTTAGGTTTCTGGAAATTGAACAAATATTTTGAGTTAAAATATATGAAAACGAACAATGTAGGTACTATTGCTTTTGAGCATGTAGAAAATAATATTCCCAGTCTATCAGACAAATCTGTTGTTATGAGCAAAATTATTGTGACATGTTGTGATTTGTTGTGCAGGAATAATTTTTATGTAAAATGAAATTACCTGTGCACAGTGACTGATCCCATGTTGCAAATCTCTAAGTGTTCTTTATAAGAAAAATCAAATATATAATGATATGTGCAAAATTGATTTCTTTTTAATATCTATGTTATCCTTACTTTTCAATGTCCTCCTATAGCCCTTTCCCCTTGCCCTCCAATAATCTTGAAACATGCTATGAGTTAAGAGTAATTTCTACGAATTTTAATTTTATTTTATTTTACTTTCTTGCATGAAACTTACGTAGTATAGAGGAAATAATGTACTACTGTAAAAAGAATGACAATTTTTGGACATAAAACCTGGTTATCATGCTCTTCAATACCAAGCAACTTGTATCTCCCTAAATGGTCTCGATGGTTGCAAGAGCTTACAGAGTCTTGACTTTCACTGATACTATGTGTTTTCCTACCAGTAGTTGCTGAGTTCCACTCATCTAAAAACGTTGCTGCAATTCACTCCTCCAATTCCTGTGGAGTCAATCAATGAATAACCACCAACTTCAATAGAAGAGTAGAAAAACAAGAATAGTACTTCAGATCACAACAGTTTGATTTTATGAATAACCATCAATTTCAATTAAAAAAAGGTATATTTTAGAACACTCCAGTTCGACTGTAGGCAATGTCCGCTTCCAAATTATTTGGATTTTAAATTCTAATTACTTGTTCTAATTGTAATCAACTGCAACTACTAAAACATTCCTTGATAGATTGCCAACTTAGTTAAGCAATAGGATATTCCACTATTGCTTGTACTTTACTTACAATGGGACTATTTTTTCCTTTATCCACTTCATATTTTACTGTTTGCGCAATTTTACACTTCCCTGTTTAAAAGTTAATCCTTTACCTCTGATTGTGAGAATAGATAGTACTTTCTTCAAGTTGTTGAGATGTTCTTCTCAAGATTGTGAAACTGGCTATATCATCTTGACAGGTAACTACGTTAGGTTGATTTTTAAAAGTAATATTTAAAACTTCACTATCTATACCCGTTTCCTAGAGTTCAATGAGAAATATACTTATTTAAATCGTGGGTGGATACAGAGATGAATTTTGGTAGGGGAAATTTTTTTATTCAAAATGTTTTGGTGGAATCTGTCTTATTACAGATTATGTAGAATGACACAGGCAAAGCCATCGCACACTGGCGTGTTGCCCTGGTGCAAGTACATTATGCCACTTTCAAAAGGAGTACTTTAATTATAAACTTCTAATAGTAGAAAAAGTTTAGTTGTTTAAAATAGTATTTACTGATGTGTTATTATAGATTTATTAAATAGTAAATAATATCTATGTACAATATAAAATAAAGCACTTTTTGAACTTACAAATGTGCAAATTTTTTAATGATATTCTCTAAATAAATATTGTTGCAGATTTCCCTTTCAATTGATATCATTGCCAGATCTGTTAATATTTCTTGTGACATAGTTGAACATACGAAGTTTGTAGGTCAGTAACATTTTAGTTTTGAAAATGATCTTTCTTCTTGGGCAAAGTTAATAAAATTTGTAATAGCATGGTAATATTAAGGAATGGCCTGGTTAGTTTATTTTAATATACGAATTCTAATACTTCAATTGGTGATGATTTTGATTTGAAAAATTTTGTGATAATATTTAGTTCAGATTCAGATTCAGATTTAGATTTGTATGATTAGTTCAGGTGTCGATATCTGGGGGTTGTGCAACTGTGAATTATAAGTGCCATTAAACTTAATAGTTGTTCTACTTGTATTGGTTGCAATCTATTTTCAAATTTACTTTAATTCAATCTGCTTCTTTAATAGAATTTGGCCCTAATATTTCTTCATTTAAGTCATTTTCATGGATTTTCTTCATCGAACAAATTTCTGATTTTCGAAATTATGGATTTATAATTATGGTGAAAAATCTTTTATTAATCTCAAACCCCTATACAGTATTTGATTAACTGCGAGTGTGCAAGCGTGTGTGCGTATGGGTGAGCGGATCCGTCACTCACGGTTAGACCACTTCTCATACCCGCATCGATACATGAAGAGATGTCATTCGACGCGTCTCGGTTTCCTGGTGGAGAATTGATAATTTGTTTTGAGATACGGTCAGAAGATTCAAATAAATTTCCAAAAACGTATTTTCGCGAGTTTTTGGAAGTTAACTATTTTAGTTAGTATGCCGGAAATTAAACCAACGCCATCCAAATACAAGTATGTAGTTTGCAATGATTGCGACAATTAAATCGCCGCGGTAGCTTTGCATTTACATTGAAGAGCCAAAAAAACTGCTATAGCCATGCGTATTGCAATAAAAAGATCTGAAACCAATAAGAATACAGCGCTCCGGTCGGCAACAACTATGTAAGAGGGACTATTTCACACAGGTAGATCGGTTATTGTTGCTACAATGGCAGATTATCACGGTTTAAGTAAGTTTGAACGTGGTTTGAACTTGGAAGTCTTCGCAAGAAAGATGGGGCAGAGCATATAGAAGGTCGCGATGAAATTTGGATTTTCCTGTACGACCATTTCACGAGTGTACTGTGAATATCTGGAATCCAGTAAAACATAAACCTCTGGCATCGCTGCGGACGCAAAAAGATCGTGCAAGAACGAGACTGTAAAGTAAATATGGAGAAGACCAAACTGTGAGTAATGCTACAGAATCACATGTAGGTTTTTACGTTCGACTTCTGACATTTACATTATTAAGCGTGTAAGTACCGATTTTCGTATTAATGTGACTGACAACTTTTTCTTATTTATCGGAACTAACACCTTCACATAAACACAGAAAACAGTCGCCTTTTAATATTTATAGAGATTCGTCTACAAAACGATAAGTAGAGCAATTGCAGAAGTAGAAATGAACACAATTAGGCTAACTTTATGGAGTTTTAATATCTTCAAAAATTAAGGGATCATATATGGAAGTGTCAAACAAATCCGGAAAAGAATAAAATGTAGTTAAGGAAGATTTTGCACTAGAATTTCTGGAACTAATTGAGAATGTCTAACTAATTTGTAACTAACAGTGACTCATAGAGACTTTGGAACTAATAGAGAATAACGCTAAAGAACAGATAACAAATGACTTTTTGTGAAAAAAAAGTAAAAAATGTGGCTGAACGAAATTTTAACTATTCAGCAGCATTCATACTTGCAATTACTTTTTGCGGCGTTTACAACTTTGAAATTGTAATATTTCTAGTTCATATCCTCTATGGAGCTTACATACAAAGGGTTGGGAATTTTTGAAGAGGAATAAAACATTATCAGCTACTACGATTCATTGGTATCTTCAATTCTAGTGACTGTAATAACGTTTTTGAATCAAGACATGCACGACATACATTTTCGATCCATGAAAATACTTTTAAAACAGTTTACAGCGTTGGCGACGCCATATTCAACTAGTACACAGTAATTAGTAATTGCTAGTTTTGCTGGATCCTCTTCCGGACCTCTCGATTTAGCTTCCAATATATTTCCTTCTGCTAACTATAAAATCAGTACCAGTCGTATTCATACCTTCTTGTTTTCCGTTGGCATAACTATAAATATGTATACTGTGGTAAAACCTCCCTTTATTTTTAGCATGCTTCATGTTTTCTATTGCTAACTCTATGATACCGAGATAAACCAAAGTCTATTTTCTCGAAAACGCTTCCAATTTTTTTCTTCAAATTTCTTGAACGAAAATTGCTAAATAGACTAAATAACATGACATAACTGCCACTTTGATACATTCTTCTGTTTTTTTAAATTACGTAAATGTATTTTTTTAATATTTATCACGTTAATATTTATATTACCAGCGATATGTATACATCATTGTATTCATGAGCAGGGTCGGTTTAACGGAGGCTGTAGTACTTTTATTATGTGGGGGCCCCTTTTATTAATTTTTCAAAACATAGGTGTTTAGAAAATGTTTTCTAGACATTTGTAGTGCGCTTGGTGTGCGAAAGAACTTGAACCCATTTCCGATAATACTTTTTTTTAGATCGATGCTTAGCGAAACATGACTTTGTTAATACATATATTGAAACATCACTGCACACCGTAAAACAAGATCTAAAATTAAAGTACCTAAATATCCTAAACTCGTTAAGACTACTCTGGGCCACGTTCTGGGTCAATATTGGGACATTTGTAAATTTTCTATTACATACTTAATATGATTTTGAAGTCGGAAAACAGAATTCAGTGGCTAGTAGACATTTAAGTCCCAAAAATTGGTCCTTTCAGTTTAAACGAAATATTTTTCATTTTATTTAATACTTACACACAGATTGCTAATGAATATAAAATGAAAATCTTACGAAATACAACAAAAGCGACGGTATTTAAAGGACGTGAGGCTTTAAGAGCAAAGATAATTACATATGGCCAAATAATTAAAAAAAAATTATGAATTTAAATATTGTGGATATCATTGTAATTATATTTAATCAAGAGATATTGTAATAAAGCTGAACTATTTCTCATGCTTCTGTGGAACATTACAACGAACTCTTTAGCATAATACGCAAAAAGAAACTCTACTTAGGTTTTACAAAATTATTGCCACGCCATTACTGCTTTATGAAAGAAAGAGCTGGACATTAACATCACAGATCAGAGAACTGAACTGCAAAAATGATATTTTTTCGTTTTATGACAGGATATTCACTATTAGACCAAACAAAAGTGTAGATATCAGAAGAATTAAATATTGAG